TTTTCATACACGCGTATAATTATACTTTATGATTGTTACCCCCACCAGTACTGTCCCTCCTGCCCAGTCTTGTCCTCTTGCTGGACCCCTTGTCCATCCTAAATAGTCCTGCTTCTCTCTTCATGACACAGAGCACCAGTTACTGCTTCCTCTCCCCCCTACCCACTAGATCTCTCCCTCCCCTCTCCCTCCCTACCCATTAGATCTCTCCCTCACCTCTCTCTCCCTACCCATTATCTCTCTCTATCCCCTCTCTAATAGATATTTCCCTCCTCTCTCTCCCCCCTCCCCATTAATTCTCATAACCTCTCTCTTTCCTGTCATTGATAAATCTGTACAGTATGCATTTATATGTCTGCATCTGTACAGATTTGAATACATATTCTGCATTGAAAGAAAATAATATTTATTGTTTTTTCTGTCTGGTTTATTTTAATATAATGATTTCTAGTTCTATTTTCCTGAAATTTTCATTTTTCATTACAGAAAAAATTTCATTTTGTATATAGCATACTTTCTTTGCCCTTTGATTTATGGATGGGCACCTAGACTGGTTCCGTAGCTCTTAAATTCCTGATTAATTTCATTTACTTCAGCTTTCCTATGAAATGAAAACCATAATTATTCCTACTTAAGAAGTAAAGAAATTATGGCTTAGCTATATTAACATTTGCTTAAGGTCACAAAGCTGGTAAGTGGCAGAACTCAGATTTATCTGACTCTGACCCTTGAAATTATGATCTTGCTTGCTCTATTATTTTCTCTCCATTAGGAACATTTCAAGTGCACATTAAAAATTGATTTTGGCAATTTTAAAAATAAGTATTTATATCACTCTGTGAGCAAATAAATTCCGACGGATGGCATCATAGCAGTTAGGAGAGCTGTAAGCTTGCTGGGCGAAGGTCCCGCAGGGTGGAGACTAATGAGTTGGTGTCCACCTGGATACGGTGTATAAAGAATAAAGAGGTGACAGGCTGCTGGCTCTGCCCTTCCTGATCAGGAAAATGATTGGACAGGTCACAAACTGACATATTCAATATTGGCAAAAAGTTTCCTTTTCGTAACAATAATGAATAAAACAAGATTAAGAGCTGAAGCCTGGTAGGCTGAAGTTAAAACTTCAGTTTAGGTTCAAAACCCAATATCATTAATTCAAGAAGAGAAAAACCAGGCTCCACATCTCCATGTAAGGGAGCCTGGTGGTTTTAAGTGATTGCTCTCTTTCTGTGGCATCCTCAGGGTAACACCACACCGGTGTTTTCAGCAAACATTTTAGTCTCAGTTAAGAAAACAAACAAAACCTGTCTGGCTTTTGGAGGAGGTAAGTTGCCACGGATCTATCTCATGTCAGCCCCTTGTTTTCAGTTTTGATCACCAGGCTCTGAGAGGACACTGACAGACTTGAGAGTAGCAGGAAGATGCTAAATCATGTGACTCAAAAGCATGTGAGAGACTCTCTAGATGCAGAGTTGTCGAGACTCACTCGCAGGGTGGTGGGAAGTTAACCCAGCTGTGTGAAAAGGTAAGAATTGGTACCAGCAAGAAATTAGAGAGGGGCAGACTTCAAGGCAATGCCCAAAGTTTCCTCATCAACAAATGTACTCTACATCCCTAGTGGTTATGGAAGACATACAGTAGACAGCAACAATCTCACCCTTCTCCTCTAATAGTCATTGACCTATGGGGGGGAGGGGGAAGATTCGTTCAATTATAGATGTTGATTTGCTTAATTGTAATCATTGGCATTGCTATGAATGAATGTCAGTAGTGGCTCAGAGGAAAGGGTGATTGATTCTCTTTCAAAGGGGTCAGGGGCACTTGATTTAAAGGATAATTAAATATAATTTACAAACATAGTAAGAGTGTCTCTAGGGAATAAGTGCTGCGAAATTGCTTCTAAAAGGAACCAGAGATGAGCTGAGAGCATCATATAGAAATGTGAAGAAGCCAAGCACGGGGGCATTTTAAGTCAAGTTCCAGACGCAGCTCAGTTCCCAAAGGAACTCTGGAACATGTGGTACATCCCAGAGTTTGCTTGGCATTTGTACCTGAACCCTCATTAGTTGGTTATGAGCTACCTCGATGGAGAGAGGCTGAAGATGGGAAACTTCTAGCATCTCAGGTGCTGAAATTCTTTAGAGACTACATGTATAGGGTATGAGCCATTGGCATCAAGGCATGCAGAAAGAGCTTGGAGGATAGGTATATGACATAGAAGACCATACAGGATGTCTTCTAGTAGGAACATCAACAGCATCTTTCATAACCAACATGAAAGGGAGAGTCTTCCATCAAAACAAACCAAGCAAAGGGACAGAGAGAATGCAGGCTTAGTGGGACAGATGCAACTTCACGGGAACACAAAGGACGAACAGAACAAAAGCAGGAAAAAGGCCAAGAGCTGACTGGTGGGAGACAAAATCCCCCAGCAAGCTAGCTCAAGAGAGGCAGCAATCTCACGGAAATCTTGGTGGGGAGAAGACAGCACTAGGCTGCTTCCAGGAGACAGGTTCTAGAATGCAATCTGGGGTCCTGGTGATCTGGGCATCTCCCAGGCAGAACGTAATGGGTTGCTACTGGTAGATCTCTGGTAGATCTTCTTTACTTTTCCTTGTTTAAATTCCAAGGTCAAGAATCGGCTTGACTCCCCCCATTACCCACTCCCTTCCTTGCCCTCATGTCTCAGTCTCATCTCACTATATAGCCCCCTGGCTGACCTGGAACTCAATACATTGACAAGGCTGGCCTTGCACTCACAGGGATTCTGCATCCCAAATGCATGTTTCTTAACTTGCTGGAAAGTCTGAGGCAGGTGCCTGACCACAATGCCTACCCGGAGGAGTGCATAGTAATATGGTATGAGATACAGTGAAGATGAGGGAGAGTAATGGCCGTGGTCCAGGTGCTGACTGGCTAGGATAAACTTCCCAGGAACCTGATGAAGAGGATCCTTGAATCCATTTTCTATGGCCTTGTAACCAATGAATGTTGTGAGGCAGGTAAGGTGGACTTAGCAATAGGAGCTTTAAGGAGCACTCATGGTCTCAGTCGAGAGGACTGTCTTGGAATTTGTACCCCTGGTGTTTCAGTTACTCCATCGAAGGCCTGGCCTTCAGCCTTCTCAATCCTTGGTAGTGTAGTCAGAAGTTTTCCTGCCTGGCCCGAGGTTGGGACAAATCTCTCCCACTTGCATCCTGAAGCTGCTTAGTTCCAAGTAAACACACAGAGGCTTATATTATTTACAAACTGTATGGCCTATGGCTCAAGCTTCTTGCTGGTGAGCTCTTATAACTTAACCCATTTCTATTTATCTGTAAGTTGCCATGTGACTTCATGGCTTGCCAGTACTTTCACATCTTGCTTTTCCTGGCAGCTTCCAGCATCTCTTCTGCCTCTCCTTTCCTCGTCCTCTCTCTCCAGTTGGAATGTACTGCCTAGCCTTATTCTGCCTCACCATTGTCCAAACAGCTTTATATATCAACCAATAAAAGCAACACAGCATACAGAAAGTTATCCCATAGCACTTCCCCTTTTCTGTCTAATCAAAAAGGAAGGTTTTAACTTTAACCTAGTAAAATTATATATAACAAAACAGTTATCAAGCAAGAATTACTGTTATGATATCTAGTCTACTTATATCTGGCAAATTTAAAGAAAATATTCTATCTATCCTATATTTGTTAGTCTAAGGTTTCATATCTAATTTATCTTTTATCATAACCAAAGAAAATTATAATTATAGCTATCTAGTCTTTAACTACATCAAAGACCTCAGAAGGATATAATATTACCCAAGTAAACAGGAAGTACATTGTAAGCAACTTCCAAAAATCTAGACTGAGACAGCTGGCTACCTGGACAGTCATCCAAAGTTCCTCTGTAATGTTGGGACACCCATCTTTAGCCTGTAGGCCTGAGTCTCTCAGTCACTTTTCCCTGTGTTCTGTAGAATGTCTGGCAGTCTCCTCTGCAAAGCAGGAACCTGAAGGACCATCTCGTCTTGCAAAGTTCAGTGGTCACCTTCCTATGAGTCCTGCATGTCCAGTTTATACATTTTGTCAATCAGTCCAGGCAGAAACAGTTTCTTACCCAAATGGCCAATTCTGCCAAGAAGAAAATAAATTCCATATGGACTGTCTTTGATGCCCATCTTCCTCTTTGAAGTAAATTGATGCTGCCAGGAGCAGATATGTCTCATTGTCCAGGAAAGTCTAGGTTTTTAAAGCATGAGTGAGAGAGATTTGTCTGGACTGCTGGGGGCTGGGCAGAACAAACATTACAGCTGCAGGTAGTTTAGTTTATTAGCCAGTGGGTCAATCCTTTGGGGTGAGTTCACCTGGGCCATTCTTTTGTACTCAGCTGGAGTTGTCTGGGTGATGATGATCTTGTCTGTAATATGAATGATGTTCAGTCTGTTTGTGTGGTGTCCTCTCTAACTCACCATGATGAGCTTCATCACATGGACTTCTTCTCCAAGTGTCAAAGAATATCAAGAAGGACACACTCTCAAGCTCCCCCCAACCATGTGTGTGTGTCATTTTTAGCTGCCTTTAGTCATATGTTCAAGCCCAAGTCAGGATGGGCCCCATCTCTCAAAAAGAAGAGATACAAAGTTACTAGATGTCTTAGTGATGTTCTATTGCTATGAAGAGACACCATGACCACAGCAACTCTTAAAAATGAAAGCCGTAATGTAATTACAGTTCAAAAGTTTAGTCTATTATCCTCGTGGCAGGGAGCATAGAGGCATTTGGCAGACGTGGTGCTGGAGAGGTACCTGAGAGTTCTGTATTCAGGTCTGCAGGCAGCAGGAAGAGAAAAGGGGACACTGGTCCTGGCTTAAGCATTTGAAACCTCAAAGTCCACTCCCAAGTTACAGAATTCTTCCAAAAAAGTCACACCTTCTAATCCCTGTCAAGTAGTGCCGCTCCCTAAGGACCAAAGGTCCAAATCTATGAACCCAGCGGGGAGAGACATTCTTATTTAAACCACCACACTATGCAAAAATGTATTTATATAATTGAGAAATTTTGTTGCCATTTTTCAATTTATCCGGTCTTATATCAAAGAAAGGAATTTGACTTCTGTCTTACAGGCAAGGGAGTCACTGACGACTTTTTAGCATGGAGCCGTGTGCCGAGGTTTGTTAGAGGCCTGTGTGGTGGGGGTGGGGACACAGAGCAGGAAGATCGCCTGTGTTTCACTGCAGATGATGAGACAAGCGGTGGGCCTGTTCTGAGAGAATGGCTGTCGGGATGGAGAAGAGCACAAGACCGAGGAGAACAGGGACAGTTGGAATGAACAAGTGTTGATGATATTACTGCCATGTTGGGTTAAGGGGTACCAAACTTTCAGCTTAAAAGTCCAGCAGGGTAGGGGTGTCCTCTTTCAGCTGAGTCCTAAACGCCTCTCCTTTCGAGGCTGTGCTGGTCTGATTTTCTTCAGAACTACTCCATTACCATTCCCTCTCACCTCCTGATTCATCAAGATAATCGAGGCCAGCAGACATCAATCAACTCAACTCCTATCTTCTGGCACCTCCTCCCCATCCTCTGTTCCAACGGGCTCATGCCCGCACCCGGCATGACTGCTTGCTGAGGCTTCAGAGCGTGGACTCTTCTGGCTCAGGGCTGAGGCCTCTTCCTGTGATCCTCATTCCTGTCGCCTTGGGTCTTCTTGTTCTGTGCTCTACACGAACTTATGGTCTCTGCAATAGATTTTCTCTAACGAGGAGAAAGAAAAGCATTACATGTCTTCAATACATTTCAGAGGTATGCTCTCAATAGTTGCGTACTTTAAATATAGTTTAGACGTTTTGTTCAAATGAGGTGGCCAGTAAAGAAGTTTCTTGGACTCTGGTTCTGGCTTTAGAAAGTGTTAATTCCCCACCCCCACCCAACCCCCCAGTCTGCACAGCATCCCCCATCCTCCCCTGATAACTTTGATCTTTTACCTGAGACGGTAAGTTGTTAGTGAAGAGCTCTGGGCCTGAAGAAGACAGGAGGTGCTGGAAAGAGATCAGAGAGCGGGGCAGACAGGGCCGAGGGGGTGGGAGGGGCTCCTCTCTGTGGAAACATGAAAGCAAACTTGCTAGGCGGTGACTAATGATACGATAACTGTCTACAAACACCAAGTGTGTATGATGGGAGCGCCAAGAAGGCATTGCCTCACCCAGCACAGATACAATCTGAGCAGTAGCCAGGCAGACAGAGATGCAGACGGAGCATCCTGAATTACAGGGGCGGGGGAAGAGAGACGGAAGGGATTTCACGAAGTCTACTTCCTTTCTGAGGACAACGTTCGCCAATCTGTCTGCCCACTCACTATTTATCCCCCCCCCCCCCAGTAAACTTTAAACTCCTCACAGAAGCTCCTTTTTCTCCATTTTCTTCATCTCTGAATGACCTTCTTGAATTCTCTCTATTGTTTCTTTCCAGCAATGTTCACCCAAGTAGTGATGGCCAGAGCCAAAGCATGAGCACGTTACCACGTAAGTCAACTGCCACATGTCCCCCGTGGGATAGGGGTGTGAGGGATCCACAGCAGCCTTGCTATTGTACTTAGAGGTACTGTTGATACTGGAGGCATCCCATCCGAGGGAGTGAAGATGCCTCTGTACAGTCCTTTATGACTCTCCTCACACTGTGACTCTGAACCACCCATCTTGTTAGCATCTTCGTGGATCCCCAGGGTGTGTGGTATACTCGCCGCAAATACTGAACATGGCTCCTCTTCTCAAGAAATCAAATAGAATCAAATCGGGATGAACTGGGAGCTCAGGAGACACTTGAAGCAGAGTTCAAGAAGGCTGAGACAACTGTGGAGCCATGGGGATGGAAGGCAGAAAATTACCGAATGTATGAGGCCGACCGTGGAGAAAGTGTGAGTCCGCCTGTGACCCCTGTGACCCCTGTGACCCTGCCCTCGCTCCCACGGTGCCAGTGACAGGTCAGGGAGGTTTAGCAGCCGCAAGAGAAGACTGTACATCCTCCTTTCAGAATAACCCGAAACATCTTGAACAGGATGGATTCAGAACCATCAACTCTGAGGACAAAACGACTCTGATGAGGAAGGGCCTTTACTGCCCTCACGTGGTGAATGCAGGACAGCGCTGAAGGAATCAAATGGGACTTGTTCTACGTTGTAGGAGGCTGGAAGCCATTCTAGTTGAAGGTGAGCACTCAGGTTACAGGCCTTCATTTAATCGGGGGACGACCAGGGTTTGGAACTCTTTTGAACTCTCTAGTTTTGTGAATTCTCAACCAGTTGGTTTCTCGATTTCTATTTCTTTCTCTTATAGTCGATGAGAGGGACATCTTTGGTGAAATGCTGACATCTTGTGGTAGCTGTGAGAAGAACTGTGGCATTTCCAGGCATGTGAGCCACCTAGACCCTTGAAGTCGGAATTCATTCTTAGGAAAACTGTGACTCCAGTTGAATAAACCTTGGCATTGGTATATTCGTTTGTAGAGAAATGGAATCTGTGATTTTTGAATTGTAGACTGGCCACTTCTGTGTGAATGAATAAATTTCTCAGCCTTATCCACATCAGCAAAATACACACACACACACACACACACACACACACACACACACACACACACACTCAATTATCCCCTCCCCCTCTTTTCACCAAAGCTTCTTGTACTTCCCCATCCGCTCAGGAGGAAAACAAAAAGTGTCCATCATTCCTGAATTCACCCTGGCCATTTCAAAATAAATAAATAAATAAATAAAATGGGCAAATCTTCTCTGCCCCCATCTCCAGCAGATTACTCAGATCTCCCCAAAGCTTCCTTCCCACTCATCCTGTTATCCCAGCCACCACTCCAGCAGGCATTCTCTGGGAACCTGCCAGTCAAACCTGCAGAGAAGCTAGTAGGTCAATGACACAGACAGGCACGTTTTACGTCTTCACTCTCCCTCCTCTTCTCCAAATCCAATCCCCTCATCTCATCCTCAGCTCTCTGGAGCAGGCTACCTGTTGTGGCCTCTCTTCACTCTTTGACGCCATTCCCAGGGGACTAAACAGACATGGTAGACCGTCCTGCTTTCCTCTTTCCTGTGGACCCTCTCCTATCCCCTCCCTTAGTCCATCCCCATTCCCAAGTGTCTGATCTCTATACCTAGAAACACATTTTACCTGGAAACCTCAGTGGCTACACCTGGAAGGAACCCAGAAGAATTCCCCCGAGACAATACACAGCCACTATACCAGCCTCAGAACTAGAGAGGGCGACAGAAATGAAGGAATAAAACACACATCCAACAAAGGTAAGACCAGAAAGCAGCACCTAGATTTACAATCATCCCAAACCCAAGAGCCTAGATACCAGCATCAAAACACAATCAATACGGCCAGGACGCTACATCTCCGTTAGACACACCAGTCCCAAGATCTGCAACACAGGTGAAGCAGAAGACGGACGGGGCTTTAACATAACTTTTATGAATATTCTTAGGCCCTTACAGAGAAATGAACAAATCCCTTAATGAAACCTGTGCAAACACATGTAGTGGGAGGAGATGAATAAAACAGTTCAAGATATGAAAGCAGAAAGAGAATCACTAAAGGAACCCCAAACTAAGGGAAATCTGGCAATGAAAACTTTGGGAGCTTGAGGGACCTCAGAAGCCAGCCTCACCAGCAGAATACAAGAGGTGGGCAAGAGAATCCCAGGCACTGAGACACAGCAGATGAAATGGAATCCTCCGTCAAAGAAAATGTTAAATCTAAAACCCTGGCACAAAAATGTCCAGGAAATCTGGGACACTATGAAAAGACCAAGTCTAAGACCCATAGTAATAGAGGAGGAAGAAATACAGCTCAAAACACAGAAAATAGTTTCAACAAAATCACAGAATAAAGTTTTCCTAGCCTAAAGAAGCATATGCTCATCAAAGTACAAGAAGCATACAGAAGTACACCAAACAGACTGGACCAGAAAAGAAATTCCCCTCAGCTATTAGTAATCAAAACACTACATGTATAGAACAAAGAAAGAATATTAAAAGCTAAAGCAGTCCTATTAGAATTACACCTGACTTCTCAATGGAAACTCTAAAAGCTAGAAGGGCCTGGGCATGTGTGCTGCAGACTCTAAGAGACCACACTGATGCCAGCCCAGACCACTATACCCAGAAAAACCTTCAATCATCACAGATGGAGAAAATAAGACTTTCCATGATAAAAGCAGGTTTAAGCAATATCTATCTACAAATCCACCGCTACAGAAGGTCCTAGAAGGAACACCCAATCTATAGAGGTTAACCACACCCCCAAAATTTACAAGGAATAAATAATCCCAGACAAGTGAATCAAAAGAGGAGAAACACATATACATATGCATACCACTACCACCATCACTACAACAACAAAGTAACATAAATCAACAAACACTGATCAGTGATAAATTTCAACATCAGTGGTCTCAATTTACCAATAAAAAGACACAGACTAACAGAATGGATGTGAAAGCAGGGTCCATCCATCTTCCCTCTGCTGCATCTAAGATACAGACCTCAACATCAGGAAAGACATCACCTCAGGATTAAGGGTTGGAAAAGGGTATTCCAAGAACATTGACCTAAGAAGCAAGCTAGTGTAGCCATTTTAATATCTAACAAAATAGTCTTCAAAACCAAAACTAATTTGAAGAGTTAGGGAAGGACACTATATACTCATGAAAGGAAGAATCCATGAAGAGGACATTGATTCTTAACATCTGTGCATCAAACACAAGTGCACCCACATTGGTAAAAGAAACACTACTGCAAATTAAATCATATATTGACTCACTCACTCATAGAGAGAGACTGCAATACCAAACTCTCACCAATAGACAGGTCATCCAGACAAAAACTAAACAGAGAAATGCTGGAGCTAACTGACGCTATAAAGCAAATGAACCTTCCTTACAGAGATTTCACCCAAACACAAAAGAATATAGCTTCTTGTCAGCACCTCATGGAACTTTCTCCAAAACTGACCACATACTCCCACAGCTGGTCTCAACAGATACAATGAAACTAAAATAACACCCTGCATCCCATGTGACCACCACAGGTTAAAGCTGGATATGAACAACAATAGAAACAAGAGAAAGCTTACAAACTCATGGAAACTGAACAGCTCACTACTGAATGACAGAAATAAGATAGAAACTAATTTCTAGAATTGAATGAAAATGAAAACATGACATACCCAAACTTATGGGACACAATGAAGGTGGTTCTGAATTGCATACTAGTAATTTAATAGCACACCTGAAAGCTCTAGAATGAAAAGTAGAAATCACACCAAAAGGAGTACGTGGTAAGGAATAAACTCAGGGCTGAAATCAATAAAATAGAAGCAAACAAAAATTACAAAGAATCAATGAAACAAAGGTTAGTTCTTTGAGAAAAATCAGTTAGATTGTCAAACCCTTCTCCAAATTAAGTAAGAGGTGGATCCAAATTTTAAAAAAATAGAGATGAAAGGGGGAGGGGCATAACAACAGACACCAAGGAAACCCAAAGACCCATAAAGACAAACTCTACCAAACTGGAAAATCTAAAAAAATTCGATAATTTTCTAGATACATACCACTCTAAGTTAAATCAAGATCAGATAAGCAATTTAAATAGACCTATAAGCCCTAGTGCAATAGAATCAGTCATTAAAATTCTTTCAACAACAAAAACAATAAACCCAGTGTCAGATGGTTTTAGTGCAGAAGTCTACCAGACTTTTGAAGAAGAGCTAACCCCAATACTTCTCAAATTATCACACAGAATAGAAACAGAAGGAATATTACCCAATTTGTTTTTTGAGTCCACAATTATTCTGCTACATAAACTACATAAAGACCCAACAAAGAAAGAGAATTACAGACTAATTTTCCTTATGAACATAGATGCAAAATTTTCAATAAAATACTTGCAAGCTAAATTCAAGAACACATAAAAATCATCTACTATGATCAAGTAGGCTTCTCCAGAGATGTGGGAGGGAATGTGGGGATAGTTCAATATACAAAAATCAGTCAGTGTAATTCACCATATAAACAGATTGAGTCATCTGAAAGGAGGGTCCCTCAATTGAGAAAATGCCTCCATAAAATCTAGCTGTAGGGAATTTTCTTAATTAGTGATTGATTGGGAGGGCCCAGTCCATTGAGGGTGGTGCTGTTCCTTGTTGCTGGAGAATTTCTCTCCAGCTCCCGCCAGTCCTGGAGCCCACTTATAAAATAAGCACACAGACTCTTACATTATTTAAACTGCTTGGCCATTAGCTCAGGCCTATCATTGTCTAGCTCTTACTCTTATAATTCAGTCCATTTCTATTAATCTATACTTTGCCACGTGGTTCGTGGCTTACCGGTACTTTACATCTTCCTTGTCCTGGCGGCGACTCCAGGCAGTCTCTCTTTCCTTCCTCCTTCCTCAATTCTCCTCTCTCCTTGTCCTGCTTATACTTCCTGCCTGGTCACTGGCCAATCAGTGCTTTATTTATATAGAGCGATATCCACAGCGGTTCCTGGGCTGGTGGTCCTAGGTTCTAGAAGCAGATAGGCTGAGCAAAACACGATGAGCAAGCCAGTAAGCAGCACCCTTCCAGGGCATCTGCATCTGCTCTTGCCTCCAGGTATCTGGAATTTGAGTTCTTGTCCTGATGGACTACGATGTGGAACTGTAAGCCAAATAAACCCTTTCCTCCCCAACCTTCTTTTTGGTCATCACAGCAATAGAATATTCTACCAAAGGAGAAAGATAAACACCAACCCAGCTACAACCTTTGATCTACAATGGTGTCCTGCCTGCAGGATGTGCTGGTGCAATGGTGGCACAAAGCTTGTGAGAGAAACCAACCTGTGTTTGATTAGATTGAAGGTCCACTCCATGAGATTAAATCCACTGCTTGGATGACCAAGACTTGAGACTAGATAGCCCACTGACCTATGCTAAAACCAATTACTACTGGTTTACTAAAAGAACATAGCAGATGGGCGGTGATGGTGCACACCTTCAATCCCAGTACTCGGGAGGCAGAGGCAGGCGGATCTCTGTGAGTTTGAGACCAGCCTGGACTACAGATGGAGTTTCAGGACAGCCAAGGCTACACAGAGACCCTGTCTCAAAAAACCAGAAAAAACAAAACAAAACAAAACTACAAAGCTTTGCTGAGCAGTGTGGGCACATGCCCAGACCAGCATTTGGGAGGCAGAGGCAGGTGGATCTCTGAGTTCCAGGCCAGTCTGGTCTACACTGTTAAACAGAGAAACCCTGTCAGGAAAAGCAAACAAACAAACAAACAAATAAACTACCTACAGCAATAAAATGACTCCCAATGACACTCTGCTATACTCGCAGATCAGTGTCTTGCTCAACCATCATCAGAGAAGCTTCCCCCTGCAACAAATAGAAACAAATAACAGAGACCCACAGCCAGATAATATGCAGAGGATGAGAGACC